AGCGCGCCCAGCGGCCTCAGCCCTTTGGCTCAGCGTGTTGCCATGGAGATTTTCTGCTCCTGCGTCCAAGGCCCGTTGGAGATCTCCTGGGTGGCGGCGGTGGCAACGGCGAGGTCGATCCCAGGGGCAGACGAGAAGCTCGCGTTCAGAGCATTGACCTGGGCTTGCGCCAGAATGTTGCGATCGAGGCCCGCGTGGGCCTGGGCGTTCACGAACGCAAGGCGCCCCCGCAGCATCGAGATCAAGCGCTGGGCATGAAAAGCAGAGTCCGACATTCTGAACGAGACAACTTGCGTCTGGAGGTGAGGGCGCAACAATGGAAGCCGAGCTATAGTTGAGCCCAAATGGCTATGGGGACGGAGGAGGATGGAGATTGCCCAGGAAGGATTGAGGACAACTTTCGCATCCAAACGGTGTGAGTTCTTTTTGCTTGAGGCTGGCTCGTCCTCAGTCTGCCTCCTCCTCTCTCGCTCTTCGCGACAACTCTCCTCCTCCTCCTCCTCTTTCCCTTCTCCTCCTCGCAATCATCATCTTTCTTTCCCTCTGCGTCCTGCTCCTCATCCTCATCATTGTTTCTCCCCTTCCCTCTGCGTCCTGCTCCTCATCCTCATCCTCATTCTCCCCCAATCCTACTCGACCGTTTCAATCCAGCCTGGCGGTGAGAGGTATTGAGAGGTGCCTCCAGGATCCTCCGAAGCACAACCCGATCGCATGCGTTCGAGATGTCCCCAGGAGCCTTCAGGAGCCTCCAGGAGCCTCCAAGAGCCTGTGAGCATCCCAGAATTCTACACAATTCCAAAGGTCGACGGCACCATCTAGATCCATCTAGGCCTGCCGAGGCCGTAACCAGCAGGCGTGGTCCCAGTGGCCGGGTTTCTCCTGGGGAGTTCGCTCCTGTGGAGCGAACTGCCCAGGGGCAGTTCGCACCGCCGCGCTCACTTCTGCGGGGGAGTTGGCGCCAGAGGAGCGAACATCTGGCGAGGGGCTGGGCTCGCAAACCTGCGACTGTCAGCACGTGCGTCACCAACGGTTTTCACAAAATGCTTCAACCCCCCCACAGGTGAAAGCACGATCGTGCGAACTGCCCCTGGGAAGTTCGCTCCACAGGAGCGAATTGCTCCTGGGCAGTTCGCTCCACGAGAGAGGTCGGCTGCCCTGTGTCGTTCGAGGGCACCAGGGGATGGGGGTGAGGAGGGATGGCACGGTGGCGATGTGATGCTGATGCTGTGTTTTTCTGCACTAGGCGTGGTGTACACTGCCACGGTGGCTGGAAGTTTCGTTGCTGCATGCGTTGCCTTCCATAACGGTCCAGCTTCTATGCTACGCCACAGAATGAACCTAAACGCCAGATGAGGTCTCGACTCTAACGAGACCTCGCACGTCTGAATGTTCACAGGATACGGCCTAGCTAGCGCGTGCGACTGCAGCATGCCCCGTCGAATGCATGTCACACAGGAGGGTTGGGCAGCAGTGTAAGCAAACATTTCACTACAGCACAAACAAAAACTGCAGCAGCATCATCAGTCCTGCTCGTCAGGCTCGGTGCGATGCTGCTGCCTGTACTCTGCCAGCACCCTTGCCATGGCCACCGCCCTCTCCTGCAAGTTTGGGCCGACCTCGACAGCCATAGACTTTGTGCGCCACTTCTTCTTGGACGCATCGTAGTGCGAGGTCTTCACGGAGTTCCTAAAGCGGACCCACTCGACGTGGTCGATGTCGATGATGGGATCAGCCCCCCTCTCAACGGAAACGTCAGGCTCCAGCTGCAGAAGCTCGGGGGCGCCATCCGCGAACTCGATCGCCAGCTTCGCGCGACGGATCGCGGCCGTGGCGACCCTCTCAGTGCGCGTTACACCGCCCACTTCGACATTGAGCTGGATGGTGCGCGGGATGTCGTCGACGGCGTCCCTGCGGGCCTTCTTGGTGGCTGGCTCCTCAGCTTTATCGACGTCAAGACCTGGGCCTGCTCTCTGAGCATCGCGAGCTGCCGCCTCCATGAGGCGGTCCACCTCATCGTTGCGTTGCGCCGCCAAGAAGTTCAGCATCTCGAATTGCTGACCCACGAATTTCACGAACTTGCTGTCCTGCTTGTCGGTTGCGACGAACGCATGGCCGTCGATGTTCGTTACCTCGGCGACCCAGGCCGAAGTAGGATTGAATCGCTCCTGCGGTGCTGAGACGCACACGAGCCCACTCTTCGTGAACACAGGCATCGGCCGATACTGATACTGGTTGGAGCACTGAACTGAAGTAACGCGGCTTGCGAATGCAGAGTTTGAGCCAAAACGGCTAGACGCACACGCACACACACACACGCACACGGCAGGATGGTGGGAAGACGGGCGTGTACGTTTTGTCAGGGTTTGGGGGGATAGGCTTGTTGGTTTGAATCTTTGGGCGCTTGGCATGTTGGTTATCTGGGTGTCTCGTGTGTGGACTGTTTGGCGTTTGATCATGTGGTTGGGCGTTGTCGCTACTAGATTTGTTTTGCTGGTATATGTGAGGTCTTTGATGTCTCATTGAGGTCTGTTGAGGTCTCCTCTTGAGGTATCGTTGACGTTCTCTGGTATATTTGAAGTCTCTTGATGTCTCTTAAGGTCTCCTCGAGGTCTCTGTGAGGTCTCTGCGGGGTCAATTGAAGTCTCTGTGATGTTTTCTGGTGTCTTCGAGGTCTGTTTGATGTCTTCCTCGGGGGTATTTTTGAGGTCTCTCGGTGGTGCGATATCCTCGTTCACATTCTCTGGTCTCTGTGAGGCCTCACTCTCGCGATCGCACGAGTCATCGCGAGCAGACGGGCATGCTTTGCTGATGCAAGGGTTGGTTCCGCCTACAGGCGCCTTCAGCACCAAAACCCGCGCGGTGCACTAAAGAACTGGCAGAGCGAATCGGCGAAGAAAGCTGGAAGCGCGAGCGTGCGATCATATCTGTGAGTGCCTTCCTGTCAAATACTCCTCCTCTTCCACGTCAGATTTCCCCTCCCGTTCCCTCCTCCTCCTCCTGTTCCTGCCCCCTCCTCATCATTGTCCTCCCTCTCCTCCTCCTTCTCCTCCTCCTTCTCCCCCTCTTCCTTCTCCCCCCAATCTGCCTCCTCCCTCCCCTCCTCGTAGTCCTCCTCGCCCTTCTCAATCTCTCATTTCACCGCAGTATCGAGCTGCGCGCTCCCTCTCAAGGAAAAAGCTCGAACGGATGATATGGCTCGGGCATCTAAACTGACTTGAGCGCCTTCGGCGGGGGAGTCGTGACAACGGCCTTCGGGGCTGGGGCGAGCTTGCACACAAGGGGCCCCCCGACCTTGACGGCCTCCGAATTCACGAGAACTGGAATTGACAGCTTAGTCTCAACCGTGTTCCCGTCGATGCGGGAGCCAACTACACCAGTGACAGAAGACCGAATCATGTTCGCAGCGGTGTCCGAGGACGGAACACAAAAAATGGGACAACGAATTGAGGGCAACCTGGCTTGGGCACGTGCAACTCACACCTCGGCGCTACAAACACTTCGACGTCTTTCAGGGGCGGGGAACACGCAATCTCAACTGAACCGCTCGAAATCTTCGGGGCCACGTTCACGCTTGAGCTCAGAGGGACAAGCGTCAGCTCACCCTTCGCAAAGGAAGCGTCTGCCACAACGCCGCGGGCCTTCCTATCCAGCGCGACGGTGAGCTCGGGGCCCTCACCGCGGTGCGCATAGGCGTCGGCGAGCGCAAGCCGAACCTCAGAGAAAAAAGCAAGCGGGCAATCACAAATTGGCCTCCAAGGAGGAGGAGGAGGAGGAGGAGGGGGGGGGGAGGAGGAGCAGGAAGAGAGGCAGGGGGAGGAGGAGGAAGGTGGAGGGGAGGAGGAGGAGGAGGAGGAGGAGGAGGGAGCCCGAACGACTCACCCTCCTCCTGGAGGTGAATATCGCTCGGGCCCCTCATCCTCCTCCTTCTCCTCCCTCCTCCTCCTCCTCCTCCTCCTTTCCTCCTCCTCCTCCTCTCCCTCCTCCTCCTCCTCCCATTCCCCCTCCTCCTCCCCCTAATCCTCCTCCGCCCCCGCCTCCTCATCCCCCCCCTCTGCGTCGCGCTGCAGATAGGAACCTGGGCTCTGATCTTCTCAAGCTCGGCGTCCTTGCGCTTGTCTGCCCTGACCGCCGAGCCCACGGGAATCCGCAGGATCGAGTTGACGGGGGCCACCTGGGAGGAGCGCGGCGGGGGGGATGAGAAGGAGAGGGGCCTCGGTGAGGGGGGGGGTGGTTTAAAATCGTTGTTCGGTTTCAGTTGCGTCGCAGTGTTTTTTTGTTCGGTGGCACCTCGTTTTCTGGTTGGCCTCCACCTCCTCGTTCCTCCTCTCCTCCTCCTCCTCCTTCCCATCCTCCTCCTCATGGTCCTCCTCCTCCTCCTCCTCCTCGTCCTCTCCTCCTCCTCCTCCTCCTCCTCCTCCTGCTCATCCTGCAATTGCATCCCGATGCCAACCTCGCACTCGTCGACCAGCTCGCTACTGCTGATCTCGACGATGCTGCCGTTGTTCTCGCCGTCCTCGTCCTCATCGGCCTTCCGCTTCTTGGAGGCCCCCATGGAGCTCACCATCCCCAAGGGAACCTTGCCAGAGCTGATCTCCATGATGGCGCGCTTCTGGTTCTTGTCAGTTTTGAGAGCTACCGCCGCACCGACGATGAAGCCGTTGGTCTTGAGCGCGCCGTCGCTGACCACCATGCCTGAAGACGTCGCCGTGAACTCGGCAAAGTCTCCTCCAGGCTCCGTCGGAGCAGCATGCAATTGCTCAGACCGAGCCCACGGTGGCGTCACATCAGGGGCAATCGTCAGCAGCTCGTCGACGAACTGGTCCTTGATAGCGTTGCTGCTCGAATACTTTTTTGCGGCCTTTCACTTGCTTGTTGTGGATCAACAACACCCAGCGCACCTGCATATCTCCAAGTAGTTTGGCCTTCTGCGCGCTGCTCAGCGTTGGAGTGGATGCGAAGAAAGTCTTGATCGTTGCCGTCGTGGCCAGAAACGCCTAGACCTCTGAATTCTTGGAGCCCTTGATGGCCGACATGTCCGTGCTGTTGAGCAACTTGGCCACTCCATCGCGGCAGTACTGGTCGGGGGCGACGAGGCATGCTTTGACGCATGCGGTGATGTACTCGGGGCCCTGCAAGAAGCCGGCCCTCGCGAGCATGCCGAAGAAGGGGCCGTGCACGTCCCTCCTGCGGTCGCCCACGGTTTTGCCGTAGTCCCGAAGCTCGTCCAAGAGCGACCCACTGTCGCCTCCAGAGTACAGCTCCACGTACTTGCTCACATCCGCTACCTGTCCGCTGAGGTGGGGCCGCGTCCTCTCGATCTGAAATTGGATGGACTCCCACTTGGCATCTCCGAAGGTCATGATGTTCTGCTTCGCGATCTTATGTATTTGCAGAAGGGTCTGCATCTTCGTCTGCCGGCGGCTCGCGCCACTGTTGGCGTTGTCGGCCTCTTGCAGGAACCGCGCCAGCTCGGGCATCTCCACGTCCACCTCATGGCGAATCACCGCCCATGGCATCCCTTACGTAATTACCTGCTCGTAGGAAGAGCACTTGGCCAGCACCCTTGCGCGAGAAATGCGCCCAGAATCGTCGTTGAACTTCTCGCCCATGCCGAGCGCGCCGAGCTCGACGCACCTGGCGCCCGCCACGGTGTGTGAGCACGCCACGCTCAAGTACATCAGGTCCGAAGGATTGAACTGAGGCAAGAAGCCCCCGCTGGAAGTCGCAAGGTCGTCGCTGAACTTCCAGTGCTGTTCTGGCCGCGCCCCGCCTGGCGCTATCTCGAAGCAGACGGCGCCTTGACACTTGTCGTACCTCAAGCCGCCTTCGACGATCACCTTCATCAAGTCGTGCTATCCCTGCTCGAATCGGTTGGCAGGGTGAGTTCCGACCTGTTTGCACTTCAGCCACGCCCCTGCGTTGGCGAGCTTCCTGCCGACCAGCAGCTTGATGATGTGCTCTGCTTTCGCCGTGATCTGATTCGCGCCGTCCTCGCCCGACGCCTCGTGATCGGCAATCACCCCCATGATGATCGGCTTCGCCTCCTGGATCGCCTGGGCGATGGCGCCCCCAAAGGACATGGTGAAGCACTCCGCTGCAGCGCGGAAGGGCCACGTCCAAGCCAACGAGAAGCTGGAGCCCACATGGCTATTATCCTCCTCCTTCTCCTGTTCTTTCCCCCCCTCATGGTTGACGACCCCCCCCCGGGAGCATTCGACCCCCCCCCCCCCCCCCCCCAGATGCGCAAGGACGAGCGGGAGGAGGTACATGAAGGGCGAGGGGAGGGAAACGAGACGGAGGAGAGTGCGGAGGGAAACGAGGCGAGGGAAACGAGACGAGGGGAGGGAAACGAGGCGAGGGAAACGAGACGAGTGATGAGAAGCAACATGACGAGCTTCTGGTTTCAAGGCTGCCGAGCTAACCTGCTTAGGCAGCCCCTCTAACCTACTTCGCTATCCTCGCTAACCTGGTTGGCCTAAGCCCCGTAAGTGGTTAAACCACTTAGCCGATCCCACTTGCGAAGCGGGGGAAAGCGCTGGCCCTACTTCCTATCTTCCCGAACCTCTTGAGTCTGAGTAACAAGTGGATCGGAGGACTTGGACCACTTCTAAACAGGATGCATCCTACCTACAGGCTGGTTCCTATCAAGATATAATCACCCGAAGCACTTACGATCCACCCCGCCGATCTCAGCAAGAACTATTGAGGGACACAATGCGCTTCACGTGCTCACATTGCTACACGGAATGCGTTCATGCATGCTCGATGCGATTACGATGCGCTATGCTACACTGCGGCGCGCGACGCAACAGCCGTGCTGACAGCCAGTCAGGCGAGCAAAGGAGAAATCCTCGGCGTAGGATGCGAGAGGAGCTGACGCGCACTCCAGCTGCCTCGCCGATCGAGCCCACATGGCCACGTGCCAATGACAAACATGTGTCTGTGTAGATCATCCAGCCTGAAGCATGGGAAGAGAGAGACAAACAAAAAAAAAAAAAAAACGTCATCTCGATGGCTGCCGCGCGGTACCAAATCTCCTCCGCGCAAAGTGATAGTTTCGCGGCAGCCCCATCCTGGCCAACATGTGACGAGCTCTGGCGCTGCCCCGTCAGCCTGTCTACGGAGCCCGTCAAAATGTATCGTTGAGTAGATCAGATCTGCCGTCGGTATCGCAGCTGGTTATGGAGGGCCCTCTCTCCAGTGCTGACGACGGCGCTGACCCCTGAATCGGCTTCGCTCCCAAGTGAAACAGCGCCTGGTACACCGCCTGGCGGAGCTGCTGGATGCTGATCGGCAGCGGCTTGATCGGCGTCTGCGCGGCATCCTGGCTGTGCTCCCTCGCGCGGTTAATGCCAGATATCAGTTCCTCGCCCGTGAATGGGCTGACTGCCAATGCGCCGCCTGCGCCGCGCATGACCTGCACCTTGTACTTCTTCGGCAGGCCGCGCTCGGCGCAGGCTGCCATGATACGGAAATAGAGGGTACATGTCTCCGACGCGCAGGCGCGACATGCCGTTCACCGAGATGGCTTGACTCGGCAATTCCGACTTTACCCAGACCTGTAAAGAATGCGGCCACGATGCGTACATGAAGGCTGCCAACGTCCTCGCCCCCCGCTTTGACCTTCTCCGCGCAGGCCGCCCCCGCGTCGATCCTCTGGTCCGCTGCTGGCACCTCTGGGATCCCATATCGACCCTGCCAGGCGACGAGTCAGCCGCACTGAGCGTCGCCCGCTGCAGCGCGGCCATCTCGTCGCTGTCGGATGGCGATCCGCGCCCAGCAAGCGCGCGGCGCGCATGGACTCCCAGCCGCCCCTCCTCGGCGCGCCTTCTGCGGCGGCGGCGCCGCCGCTGCGCCTGCGGCGTCGCGCGCGCCTGACCTCGGACGGGCCCTCGACGCCGTCAGCACCCATCCCGCGCGGTGCATTTTCACGCTCCGGGCATAGCTTCCAACGTGCCCCTGCACGCGCTGCACGCGAGCGCGGAGGCATTGACGCGCGATGCCGCAGCGCCCACGCGCGCAAGGTGGATCAGGCCCAAATCGAAAATCGAGGGAGACGGATCCAGCGGGGCACTTTCCCGGCGCCCCGGTCGCCATTTCCACGCAGACCTCAGACACGATGCCACACTCGGGAACGGCACGCGACACTATGGACATACATTTGCACGAGCCGCGAGCGAGCACGCGTTCCGAAGCTCACGAGCAAGGGCGACGCGAGCGCGCAGGCTCTTCGCGGCGGGAGAAGTCGCCCCGCGGGCCGCGCCATCGCGCAGCTCGCGCGCGCGCGGGAACTGCCCCTCGCACCCCCCCATCGGAGATCCCGCGCCCCCTCGCCCCCCGTTCGTCGTCGCGCACGCGCTCTTGCCACGATCGTATAATAAGTTCGTCGATCTCAAACTGCTCATCGAATTCCGCGGCCGCGCTGTCGTTCCACGACGTTTCGCGCGTCGCGCCACCCGCCCGCGCAATCAAAATTCGGCCCCGCGCCCTCCACTCGGAAGCCAGCGTCGCAACGATGTTCGGTCGCATTGAGATCCCCCCGCCACTGCATTGCCCCTGGCGCGCTGCGCTCGCAGACTCTGCCCGTTCCACGCCCGAGGCGGCGCCCGAAACATCCATCCAATCTCGCGGCCCCGAAAAATCCCATGAGGGCGCGCTCGCGATGGGCCGACACCGCGCGGCTCGCTGCAGCTGGGGCCCCACGGCAGTGGGCGATAATTCAACAAAAAAAACGCCGTAGAGAACATGGGCCGGGCGCGGCCGCCCCCCGAGGCAACATCTGCTCGCCCCTTTCATCGAGCAATGTGGCATTTGCAGAATCGCACTGCCCAGTCGATAAGAGAAACCCTCTGGTAGTACGAAAATTGACGCACTGACGCCGCCACAGGGCACGCGAACACGCAGAAACAACATCCGCCCTGGTGCCATGCTCGGCCCCATGATCGCCACCCTGCACGCGCAGCATTGGTTCTCTCGCCGGGCCCGGCGCGCAGCGCGCCGTCGAAAAAGAGAACTGGCCCGAGCAGTCTCGCCTCGCGGTCGTTCGCGCCATTGACCAAAGACGGCGCAACTGACTGCGTACGTAGCGCGCGCAAACGCCCGGCGACACACGACGTTGACGACGCGCGCCGTCTTGCGCTCGTTGAGGTGGTGACCTGTGTGGAACATGATATTGCAGTAGATCTATCACTGTGTGAAGCTGCGCTGCGATGTAGTGTATATCTATATGTACATATATACATACATATGCATACATAACGAGTGCCCGCGCCGACGTCATTCTGTTTACTGCCCCGTCAATAATTAGTAGCCGCAATCTCCATGCCCGAGTTTTTCGCACCATGCTCGGACCCCAAAAACGACAGCATCCACAGAGTCTGCTGACGCCGCGGAGTGCCCCACCGACGCCCCCCGATTTGCCCGAAAATCCTTGTCCTCATCCACTAGGCAAGCGCGCCCCACTACTCGCGAAGTCACTATTCGCAAATGGCCTGGGTCAGCCGCGGAGGATCCACGATAAATTACATTCAGGCGAACGCGTGTGTTTTGGACGTTTGCGAGTAGGCACTTTGCGAGTAGTGGAACGCGCTCGGTGCTCCATAGCGTTCACGTGCATGGTGGCGTTCTCGGCGGCGAAGCGAAAGAAACTGCACTGGTCTGGAGGGGCCGCGCGCTCGCGCAGCGGATGCAGACACTCCCCCGTCGCGCAGGCAAGCGCGGTTTTGCGCCGCCAATAGTCGCCACGGCGCGCGATGCACGTGCTCCTCTACATCTCGAAGCAGCTGCTGACAAGGTTAGAACACACCCCTCACGACGACGACCGCGAAGCCCTTCATGTGCAGAAGCCTATGGCGCGGGTCGCGCTGTACGTTTCAACACCTGGCCATAGAAGCTCGTGCAAAACGCATCGAAAAGATGTAACTTCCTCAGCCCCACTGATGCCGCGTGCTGAATTGCGCTGTGGCTGGGAAGCATGTGCTCTCCGCTGCAAACGTTGACCCGAGTGTCTAAGTGAGCGCGCGGTCAAGACGCGCTGCATGCTCCCCGTAGGAAGGATGAAATGATCGATGGTGCTACTGCTGTTGAATCACGTGGGCAAAAAGTTCCAGAAGCTGTTGCATACGGACATATGGCCATCCTCCAAAATGTCTCGCATCCGCTGCGAGACCGTCGTTTCCATGCCCGGCTAATTCAAACCAACAATGGCGTCCACTCTCTATAAGACTGCCGCCCCGTCGAATCACGCCGAATACCGAAAGAGCATATCAAATCCCCGTCCATGACGACCTGGCACTGGTGCCCTCTCGAACCGTAATTGCTGAAATCTGTTATAAACGTGTACAACCTGCCTATTTCACATGATGCGCAACAGCTCTAAGAACCACCAGCAATAGAAACTCTGCGGGCGGAAGTAAGTGAGCGTAGGTGCAGCAAGCCAGCCCAGGCCTACCGCCCCGCATTGAAATTGGCTTCCGCCCATGGGGTGTACGGCGTGGCAGGTGCGGTGGGAGCTCCTTCAACGCTGCAGGCCAAAGCAGCTCGTAGGAGGAGGAGGAGTAGGAGGAGGAGGAGGAGGAGGAGGAGGAGGAGGAGGAGGAGCAGGAGCCAGAGCAGGAGGGGGAGGAGCAGGAGTAGGAGAAGCAGGAGGGGGAGCAGGAGGGGACGAAGGGGAGAAGTAACGACTGCAGAAATTGGCCGATGCCTGACCGGTCTCGATGCCTTCTCGTTTCGCCACGCGCATCTGGTCCCCACCCCCTCCGCCTCTTCCTTTTCCTCCTCCTCTTGTTCCTCCTCCTCTTCCTCCTCCTCCTCCTCCTCCTCCACCTGCTCCCGCTCCTCCTCCTCCGCCTGCTGCGCCTGCTGCGACTCCTCCGCCTCCTCCGCCTCCTCCGCCTCCTGCTCTTCCTCCTCTTTTCTCCTTTTCCGCCTACCCCCTCCTCCTCCTCCTCCTCCCCCTCCTCCTCCTTTTCCTCCTCCTCCTCCCTCCTCCTTTTCCTCCTCCTCCTCCTCCTCCTCCTCCTCCGCCTCCTCCTTTCCTCCTCCCGCCTCATCCTCCGCCTCCTCCTCCTCCTCCGCCTACTGCTCTTCCTCCTCCTCCTCCTCCCGCTACACCTCTTCCTCCTCCTCCTCCGCCTCCTCTTCCTTTCCACATCCCTCCTTCTCCTCCTCCTCCTCCTCCTCCTCCTCCTCCTCCGCCTCCTCCTACTCCTCTCTCCTCCTCCTCCTCCTCCCCCCTCCTCCTCCTCCTCCTCCTCCTCCTCCTCCTCCGCCTCCTCCTCCTCCTCCTCCTCCTCCCTCCTCCTCCTCCTCCTCCCCTCCTCCTCCTCCTCCTCCTCCTCCTCCTTCCTCCTCCTCCTCCCTCCTCCTCCTCCTGCCTCCTCCTCCTCCTCCTCCTCTCCTCCTCCTCTTTCCTCCTTTCCTCCTCCTCCTCCTCCTCCTCCTCCTCCTCCTCCTCCTCTTCCTCCCTTCCTCTTCCTCCTCCTCCTCCTCCTCCTCCTCCTCCTCCTCCCCTCCTCCTCCTCTTCCTGCTCCTCCTCCTCTCCTCCTCCTCCTCCTCCTCCTCCTCCTCCTCCTCCTCCTCCTCCTCCTCCTCCTCCTCCTCCTATTCCTCCTCCTCCTCCTCTTCCTCCTCTCCTCCTCCTCCTCCTCCTCCTCCTCCTCCTCCTCCTCCTCCTCCTCCTCCTCCGCCTCGGGGGGGCCCCCAAGAGTGGGGTCGGGCTTCGGCCCCCTGGCGGAGGCGAGGACCGCCAGGCCCTCGGGGCGAAAAACCCCCGCACCCCAGGGGACACCGCCAAAGTGCGGTTTCCTTACCCCGGGGGGGTCGCCAGGTCCCGTGGCCTCCCCCAGGGCGGTGCTGGGTCCCCCCCAGCACTCGCCGCCCTGGGGGCGGGACCGGCGGCTCGTCTTTGTCGTGTCCCTTCGTCCGTGTCGTGTCGTGCGTGTCGGTCGTGGCCGTTTCGTCCCCCGTCGTGTCGTGTCGTGTCGTGCCGCCTTTTTTTTGTTGGTTCGGTCCTGGGGTCTGGTCCTTTTTTCGGTCCTGGGGTCCGGTCCTGGGTCCCTGGGGGCGGGGGGCGCGGCGCCGTCTTTTTCGCTGAAGGCGGCGCCTCGCTGCCCTTTTTCTGGGGCCCCCGTCGTTTTTCCCCGTGTCGTGCCGGCCGGGCTCGCCCGCCGGCCGGGCGCGCGGGGCGCCGCGCCAGGGCGGCGGGCGCGGCGACGCGTCGCTGGGCTGAATGCGCGCGGTTGAGAACTCCCACTTCCTCCGCCTCCTCCTCCTCCTCCTCCTCCTCCTCCTCCTCCTCCTCCTCCTCCTCCTCCTCCTCCTCCTCCTTCTCCTCCCCATAATGCTCCTCCACCTCCACCTCCTCCTCCTCCTCCTCCTCCTCCTCCACTCCTCCTCTCCTCCTCCTCCTCCTTTTCCTCCTCTTTCTCCTCCCCATCCGCCTCCTCCTCCTCACTCTCCTCCTTTTGTTCCTCATCCTCCTCCTCCTCCTCCTCCTCCTCTCCTCCTCCTCCTCCTCCTCCTCCTTCTCTCTCCACCTTCCTCCTGTTCCTGTTCCTCCTCCTCCTCCTCCTCCTCCTCCTCCTCCTCCTCCTCCTCCTCCTCCTCCGCCTCCTCCTCATCCTCCTACTCCTCCTCATCCTCCTCCCTCATCCTCCTCCCCTTACCTCTCCGCATCCCCCCCCCCCCTGCTTCCTCCCCCCTCCTCCTCCCTGTTTTTCCACTCCTCCTCCTCCTCATCCTCCCTCTCCTCCTCCTCCTCCTCCTCCTCCTCCCTCCTCCTCCTCCCTCCTCCTCCTCCTTTTCCTCCTCCCCCTCCTCTCCTCCTCCTCCTCTCCTCCTCCTCTCCTCCTCCTCCTCCTCCTCCTCCTCATCTCCCTCTCGCTCCTCCTCCTCCTCCTCCTCCTCCTCCTCCTCCTCCTCCTCCTCCTCATCCTCCTCATCCTTCTCTTCATCAACATCCTCCTCATCATCATCCTCCGCATATTTATCACTATCATCACCACCATCAGCATCACCATCATCACCGTCACCATCGCCATCATGATCATCATCACCATCATCATCATCACCGTCACCATCATCATCATCAGCAGCATCATCGTCATCAGCATCAACATTATCATCGGCAACATCATCACTATCATCATCACCATTATCACCATCAGCATCATCATCAGAATAAGCATCAGCATCCTCATCAACATTATCATCATCATCATCATCACCATCAGCAACAGCATCAACATGTCCAACATCATCAACACATAAACAATATGAATACGACTCTCCTATCTCCCCAGGTGGCGTCTGGGAAATGACCCGCCCCCCGCCGCGCACTGGGTTTTAAAACACCCGATCCCTGGGAGTTGGCTTTCGCAGAAACGCAGAAACACCCGATCCCTGGGAGTTGTTTCAAAATGCAGCTCTCGCAGAAACGCTGGCTCCATGTTCGGGTTTCCGTTCGTTCCGAACCGTGTTCCCGCGGCAGCGCTGGCATCATTTCCGCGTTTCCGCTCGTTCCGAATCGTGTTCCCGCTGTAACACTGGCACCATTATTTCCAGCGCCATGCCACGGCATGGTTTTCGGTCCTTCCAAATCTACATAAATACGCCCCAAAGTCTGGAAATGCCCCCCCCCCCCCAGAAAAAAAAAAAAAAAAAAAAAAAAAAAAAAAAAAAAACAAAAAAAAAAAAAAAAAAAAAAAAAAAAATATATACATATTTACACCACACATATATATAATATATATATATATATATATATATATATATATATATCTAATATATATATATAATATATATCGGAAGTGATTACACATTCGGCGTCGACGTCGCCACGCCATGCTACAATGGGGTTCGATGCACAAGAAACCCACCGCAAGAAACCCGACCCTGAAACCCGCAGAGGTTTCTTGGTCCAGGGTTGCAAACAAGAAACCCAGGGCACCTTGGCCCGAACGGTTTCTTGACTGATTGCGACAAGCAATCCGACATCAAGAAATGCGCCCCGAAATACACCCAGTTAAATGCGCGCCTGCGCGCGCAAAGCGAGAGGGGGGAGCGGACAGCGAGGGGGGACGAGGCAAGACGAGGACGAGGGAGAGAGGGGCATTTTGCCCGGGCGGCGGCAGGTCGCCGCCTTCAGGCCCGCAGCGCGGTCCCCAGGCCCCCCTTCGGGGGCAGGGCCGCGCGCGGGAGCGAGGTTGTGGGCGGGCGGGGAACTCGTCTCGAGCCTCGCGGCTGAGAGACAAAAGTGGGGCGCGCTTTCCCCACGCGTAACCTACCGTCTTCACTAGGCCAGACTAGCAAGTTAAGTGCGCGCCTGCGCGCGCAAAGCGAGAGGAGGGAGAGGAAAGGGAGGGAGGACGGGGCAAGACGAGGACGAGGGAGAGAGGGAGATTTTGCCCGGGCGGCCACAGGTCGCCTTCAGGCCCGCAGCGCGGGCCCCCAGGCCCAGTCCCGGAAAAACCCTTACGACGCCGACGGTGCCGGCAGGGGGAGGCGCGCCGGCGCGGGCGCCGGCGCAAGAAGAGACGGGGAGGGCGGCAAGCGGGGCTAGCCGGCCCCGCCTCGCGGGCTAGGCCCTGGCCCGCCCATGCATCGCCCCCCCGCGCTCGCGCTGCAGGCGGCGCGGGATCGGGGCGCCCCCCGCAACGCTCATTAATGAAGCGCCGGGGTCGAACGCGCCCACGCACGCGCTGTGCGCGGGCGCAAAAGCGAGCCGGCGACGCGCGACGGCGCGTAAGTCAACGCGCCCGTCTGCCTGCGGGAGCTCGAGGCAGCACTGGCCCCCGCTCGGGGCGGAAAGTGCCGATCCGCGTGCTACTCGCACGAACGCTCGGGAAAGAGAGGGTGGGACGCGAGGCGCGCCCCGGGCTGCTGCGCCACCTGCGCAGGAGCTCGGCGAAGGGCAGGCCTCGCCCTCACGATGCCCTGGAGTGCTGGGCCCGTCGGCCAGCGGGAGTTCGAGGCGGCGCTGGCCCCCGCTCAGGCCGAAACAAAAACGCCGAGCTGCGCGCCACTCGAACGGGCGCTCGGAAAGAGAGGGGGGCGGAAAAGAGAAGCATGCCCCGAGCTGCTGCGCCTCTCGCACAGGAGCTCGGAGCAAGGCTCGACCTCGCCCTCGCGCTGCCCCGGAGGCAGGGAGCCATCTGCCGACTTGAAGTGCGCGCGCGTGGGCGCGCAAGGCGGCGCGCGCAGCGGGCGCCGCAGGCGGCGCGGGCGCGCCGTGGTGGCTGGGGCACCCGCCCTCGCCTCAGCCCCTCCTTAACGCGACGGGCTGGGGGCCCCGCCCTTTGCCGCGCGCCTTCCCCGCGCGGGGGGCCCACCCGGGGCGCGTGCACGGCTGCCTGGCGGCAGCGCACTCGCGCTCGCGGCGCCGCTCGTTCTTCCCCCACACCTGCTTCCCGCCGCGCGGAGCACGCGCCTTGTTGGGCGGCCGCTCCCGGGGGAGCGGGGACCTGTCGTCGCAGGCGCTGCGCGCCCGCCCCCCCGCTGCGGGGGGGGGCGGTGGGGGGTGCGGTGCGCCGGGGCGGTCCTCTGCGGCTCCTGCTGCGGGGGGGGCGGTGCGCCGGGGCGGCCCTCCCCCCGCGCGCCCGGTTGCGCTGGGGGCTTGCCTCGCGGGCTGCCCCCGCGCACTCGCATCGCCCTGCGGCGCGGTGCAGGCCCTGGCGTTGCCGTCACCAAATATAAACGCAGTCTCCTGGCTAACGTCCATATTGATGTTCTTGCCCGTCTGCTCATGGATAATGTCGCGCAGGTTCTCGGCGGCCTCTACGCCCATGATGCCGGATGTCGCGCCGACGTCGAGAATGCCGAAACCGTTGGAGGAACTCTGCTTCGCACCCCTGAGGATCCAATCCTCTGCCTTCTGACCAGGTCGGTAGCTTCGCGCGCTGGACCCGCTCTCGTAGCTCGATGGACTTCTCGATCTGAACGTAGAGATAATTGTCCAGCTGTTTCTTCTGGTTGGCGGTCTTCGGGCGATTATTGATCACTGGGGCGTTGGCAAGTGAAGCTTCCAGCCGTAGCCGAGACATCTCGTTCGCGATGCGGTTGGCGCCCTGCTCTGCGCCGAAGAAGACGAAAGCTCCGAATCCCTTCGCGCGTCTGTCCTGGCCGCCCCGACTGCCAGTAGAAGATGCGCGTTCTCGATCTCGATGATCCTTGGTCTCGCGGTCACCGCCGCACTTCAGACATGGTCCTTTCCTGGGAGGCCGACCTTGGGAGCGATCTCCCTCTCGGCGGGGTGGTCCATCACGTCGCTGCCCACTCCCTCGGCCGCCCCTCGGAGGACCCTGAGCCTCCGGATCCAGCCCGGGGCCCTTGAGGTCTGCGATGCCCTCTTCGGTATTATCGCTTTCTGTTCTCATCCACGGGGTAGAAGTTCCGGGCGGTCTTCACTCGTCGCAGTAGATATCGGGCTTCCTCGAAGCTTCTCTGCTGGGCGGCGAAGGCGGTCTCGGCTTCCTCCATCTCCAGGGCACTGTAGAGCGGCTCCTCGGAGTTCTCTTCACCCTCGTCGTCGCCCTGGCCGTCGTAGGAAGCCCCCGACTCGTGCTCTTCGTAATAGCTGTACTCGTCGCCCTCCTCGCTGTTCGCCCCCCAGCCGGCATGGGTCCGCCCACGATCTCAGTGACGATAGTCCTTGCCCTGCTTCTTGTCCCGACTGGTCAGCTCATCGTCTGGCCAGGGAACTCGAAGCTGCTCTCCGATGCCGTCGTAGTCGACGCTGCCCTTGACTGCGCCGATGACTGCTGCACGCTCCGTCGGCGTAAGTCTCGATCGCTGCAGCAGTAGCCATCCACGTAGCTGGCCCAAGGGGATCGCCTGGTTGAAGTCAGTTCCGAAGTCGGGGTGCCCCGGAATCTCCTCGAGGCCAGTCTCGACGAAGCTCCGGAGCGAGTGGTTCAGCCTCCTGGCCTTCTCAGCAGCGTCCTCCGGGCCCTCCTGCTCGATCTTGCACGGGGACCAGGTGGGCCCCCCGTAAAGGTTGATTCTCCTTTCTAAAAAAAAGGCTCTACCAAAAACCCCCCCCCCCGCCCCCAGGACTTATCAGCCCCCCTTTCGGGCATGTAAATCATATATGATTCTGACCACATGTCCATCCTAAATATGAAAGGCCGGTCTCCCCCCCTGAGGCCCCCTTGTGTTTTTTCTTTTGAAAAAAAAAAAAAAAACACTATGCGGTGACATGTTTTGTTCTAACATAGCACTTTTCCGCGAATCCCTTGCAAAAAATGACACAGCGTGCACGCGCGCGCGTCGTCGCGCGCGCATGCCGAAATCCTTAAAAAACCTTCGGTACCGGAAAGATGTCGCAATCATTTATATGTATATATATACACAAAACGCATTGTTTCGCAACACGGATTTGCTAAACAAAACAAAAAAAAAAAGCCCCCGCGCGAGCTCTTGCGATATCTTCAGAAAACCATGATTTTTCCATATTTTCACAACATGCTACCAAACGGGCTTCGCGCGCGCGCATGTCGAAATCTGTCGAACACCCCTGCGCGTGTGCCGTCGCGAGACTCCCCTGCAAAAAACGGGGCGAAGCGCAGACGGTCGCGTCGTCGCGGGCGCGCGCCGAAAACCTTCAAAACCCATCGGCCTCGGAAGGATTTCAAAATCGCGCGCCAAAAAAACTTACAACAACCCAAGGTTTCGCAACGCGGATTTTCAACAAAAGCGTGAGCGCGCTCTTGCGTCGTCGTCGTCGTCGTCGTCGTCGCCGCCCTCCCTGCTCCCGCGTCGTCGTCGTCGTCGCCTACGTCGTCCTCTGTCTTTTCTCGTGTTCGTCGTCGTCGTCCTCTTTGGCGTCGTGGTCGTTTCCGTCGTCGTTGTCGCCGCGGTCGCCCTTCCTCCTCCTCCAACGTCGTCGTCGTCGTCCGTCGTCGGCGTCTCGTCGTCGTCCCTCTTATTTCGCCACCGTCGCCGTCGTCGTTGTCGTCGTCGTCTTCCTTCCCCCCTCGTCGTTGTCGTCGTCGGCGTCGCCGTCATTCCTCCATCGTTGTCGTTCGCGTCGTCGCCGCCCCCCCCCCTCCCTCGTCGTTGTCGTCGTTGTCGTCGTCGTCGCCGTCGTCGTCCTTCATCCTCCCTCGTCGTCGCCTTCGTTGGCGTCGTCGTCGTCGGCGTCGTTGCCGTCGTCGAAGTCGTCGGTGTCGCCCCAGTCGTTGCCGCCGGTGTCGTCGTAGTCGGTCTGAACAAGTTTTGAAAACCAATTTGCGGGTGGGTGGGCGGGATGTTTCTGCGTGCAGTGGAGATGGCGACTTCAAGTTCAGCAGAGCGGTTTCACGCCTCAGCTCTCTCCGAGAGTCGGGCGGCGCGCTGCTTCTTGAAATGCTCGGCGTCGAACCCTTTGACCACGTCGTGGTAGGCTTCATCGTCTCTGCTGATGTAGCTCGGCGTCGGTTCTCCAGTATCCCGTCGTAGATCAAAGGCCCATATTGCCAAATACTTCCCCGCATCCTGGATGGGTTGAGCCCCGAGCTTCGATCTCACATGTCTGAGCGACTCGGTAGCTCCGTCGTCCTTCTCGACGCGGTGCCAGTCGACATATTTTGCTGCATGTCTCGCTCGGCCTTCAAGTCGCCCCCATAATCGTGGGCCACATGCGCATCTCTCATCCCGACGGGCCCCTCTGATGTAAGCCTTGACGTGTTTTCGTAGTCATCCACCGCGGTGGAATCTCCGTTCCACTTCGGTGCGATACCGTCTCCATTATTATTTGCCATGGCCTGTGGAACGCATCAATCCGTGAATATGTAGTCCGTGGAGCGCATGCTCCGTTACCATGCAATAGTCCCGCCTGTAGACCACTGCCCTGATATCAATCAAGAATACTAACCTCCTTTCTCTCTCAATGATGTGATGGGGGTCGTTGTAGGCGCCATCCGACGCGGGGGATTTGGGGGCAGCGGCGGCGCGATTCTGATCGCGCGATGGTGGTGAACAGGATCTGCGTCAGCGGGCAGTTCGCTGTTCTGCGTCTCCTAGACGCACGCCAGTCAGTCCAGCGTCGCTGCGACGCTGCAAAGCATTGAGCCAGAACGGTTTCGGATGAACCAGTTCTGGGGTATTATAACGGGGATATCGGAGGGCCTACTAAGCAAGGCTAGCTGACACCTGGAGGCTTAAGGGGGCCCGATTCGCCAGGATACGCAGGTATGCATAAAAGAGGCTACTGTGGAGCCTGATCCTTTACATGTCACGCACGGCCTCTAGGGGCCACCTGTCGCAAGTAAGCTCTAGGTAGGCAGGCGTTGGGCTGCGACGTGCAACCTTGGGGCGTCGCCGCGCCATGCTTTGTCATGCTAGGCGTTAATGCTCAACACCGCGCAATGCCATGCATGCTACGCCATGCTAGAACAATCCGACTGCCCGAATAGAAAGGACATAAAAGCCATGGTAAGGGATGAGATGGAGGGATCGGAAGTCAGATATGGCGCGAGCGCACCTAGCTTGGCGTTCCCCTCTCTTCCTCCTCCTCCTCCTCCTCCTCCTCCTCCTCTTCCTCCTCCTCCCCCTCCTTTTCCTCCTCCTCCTTCCCCTCCCCCAGCAACATTATTATTTTCATCGCAAGCATCGCCAGCAACCGCACCGCGGGCATCATCATTAGCAGCATCATCAGCATCACCGGCATCATCAGCATCATAACCACCAATATCACCATCAGAAACGCCGTCATCATCATCAGCACCATCATCATCATCATCAGCATCCGAATCCTCATCATCATCATAGTCAGCATCCTACTCAGCATCATCATCATTATCATCATCATCGTCATCATAATCGTCATCGCCAGCATCGTCATCAGCATCATCATCAACATCATCATTATCATCATCATCACCATCAGAGCCATCATCATCACCAGCATCGTCATATTCAGCACCATCATCAGCAGCATCATCGTCAGCATCATCACGATCATCATCAGCATCAGCATCATCATCAGCATCGTCAGCATCATCATAAGCACCCTAATCATCACCATTAGCAGCAGCACCAGCATGAACATAACCATCAGCATCATCATAATCAGCATCATCATAATCATCAACACCACCATCAGCAGCAACATTATTAGCAGCATCATCAGCATCAGCATCATCAGCAGCATCATCATCAGCATCATCATAGCCATCAGCAGCATCAGCAGCATCATCAACAGCAGCATCATCAGCGCCATCACCAGCATCATCATCATCATCCTCAGCAGCATCATCAGGATCAGCAGGATCAGCAGGATCAGCATCAGCAGCCCCATATGCATTATTATCATCATCAGCATCTTCAGATTCAGCTTCTTCTTCATCTTCATTTCCATCTGCAGCATTCTCATCACCCTCAACATCATCATCCGCATCAACATCAACGACAGCATCATCATCCCACGTTTCCTTCCCGTCGTCCCCCTCTCCCCCCTCACCTCCCCCTCCTCCTCCTTCTCCTTCTCCTCCTTCTCCTCCTCTTTCTTGGGCTGGCACCCCCGAAGTCACCGTCGCGGCCTCGGAGGAGCTAGCCACTGCCGCGCGGGGCCGGCCTCAAACGGCCCAGATCAAGAAGGCCAGGACGCAGGGCAAGAAGGCGGCGAGCACGCTCTCCGCGGAGAGCTCCCGAGTGGGCCTCCGGCGGCTCTGTCACCTGGCTGTTGCGCGGAACGCTGAATCAGGAACGAAGGGGCCTTCCTGGCCCAAGCGGGCCTCGGTCACGAATGTGACGCACGGCCTACATGCGAGGAGCGGCCTGAAAGCCGGAGCCCCGCCTCAGCCCGAGGCGGCCCTTCATTCGGCGCCTCAACAGCAACACCTGTTGGCTTCCATTGACACCTGCCACTTCGCACACTCATCGCCCGCAGGGTTCGCATAAGGTCGGGAACTTTTGTTTAGCGTGTCGCGGCGGCGGCCCCGGCGAGACGCCGGCCCGCTCCGCGGGGCGGGAGGCTGGGAAAGGGCGCATGGGGACTTGGAATGGTCAGCGCGTCGCGCCGAAGCGCGGTGGACCAGAACCGGCGGCGCGTCACGCCACGCGCTAACTTCTTGACCGTTGTTCGGGTCGCTGGTTCATACTGACGCCGATGCTGGGCCCGCGCGCCCCGCGGGCGCTG